CAAATCTTCAGCAATTCTCTCTGTATTTTGTGTTATCTCCCCCTGTTCTGGTACTGCAATCACATGTAGGTTATTCCTCTTGATAGAGTCCCAGATAATTCTTAGGTTTCTTCATTTTTTAAAATTCTTTTGTCTGATTTTTCCTCATATAAGTTGGTATCAAATGCTTTATTTTCAATCTCACTAATTCTGACTTCCATTGCCTCCATTTTGCTCCTATGACTTTCTATTTAGTTGTCGAATTCTGAAATTTTATTGTTAATCTTCTGGATTTCTGATTGTTGTCTCTCTATGGGTCTTGCAGCCTGTTAAATTTGCCATTATGCTCTTCTCTAATCTTCTGAGTGCCTTTATTACTTTTTCTGTGTGTTCCTTGGATTTTTCTGCATTTTGAATGGTCTCCTTCCTGATCTCTTGAAGTGTTCTGTATATTTATTTTTTGTATTCTACCTCAGGTAATTCTAAGAAATTATTTCCCTCAGAAAATTTCTTGATTCTTTGTTTTGGGAGCTTGCTGAAACCATCGTGGTCTGCCTGTTTATATGATTTGATGTTGGCTGTTTTTTCTGAGCCATCGTAAGTTATTATATTTATTTATTTTATGTTTGCTTACTGTGTCCTGCCTTCTTGTTTTGTTTTGTTTTGATATGCCCTAATAGGCTGCTTGTGTGAGGTAATTTGATTATTGGTGCCTTTGAAACACTAATGTCCTGTCACCAGATGATCAGATCTGTTACTAGTTATGTGAGCCCAGACGTCTGTTTACTTTTCTTGTATCAATTAAGCTTAGGTGTCCAGGTAGTCTGTCACCAAGCGTGTGGTGCAGGCTCTCACCTACAGTCCTAGATCATCAGGGGTGATTGGTGTAGGCACAGGTGTCTGGCTGCAGTAGGGGGTCACGTGCTGAGCAAGGCTGGGGGCTGATGGCTGCCCCTGAGTGTCTGGGAGGAAAGCATGTCCCTGTTCCCTAGAGCATCTATGTGGGTGGGTTTTGCGTCCAGACTAGAGGCACCCAATGCTGTTGGCTTTAAGGACTGGGAGGAACCACGTATTCTTGGACCGCTGTCGAGGGTGGCTAGGTGGCGTGGGTGGAGCCACCAGTCCTCTGGCCCCAGATGTGGGTAGATGAGGATCCTGTTTAATGGGCTGAGCAGTGCCAAATGTCACGAATCTGCCACTTCACTATATAACTGATGCAATTGAAGTTAGGCTTCAGGTATATACCCTGTTGTACAGTGCTAATGAGGGCTTATGCTGTTGAAATGGGCCCACACAGGTCTATGCAGGGGTGAAAGGCATTCAAAGTCTGTGGACTCCTTATGCCTGTGCTTAGGCAAAGGAGCTATGCGTACACTGAGTTCCTGGCTTCGGGGAACTGGCGGATTATTTTTTCCCTGTTTGTTAATTTGTTCCCTCTCCAAGGCTGGGAGAATAGCTCAGGGCGTGTGACAGGTCCTACTTCTGGCCCATGGGACTCGGCAATCGCTGAAGCCAGCCCAGGACCTGATGTAGAGCAGGGAGGGGGCAGGTAAATGGGAAAGAGGTTTTTCCCAAAGAGGGTGTTTTTTGATCAGCACAGTAGGTCAGACATATGTAGTTATCTTTTGTTGATAGAACACCACCTTTCACTGGTTCCGGAAGCCTTAGTAGACTCTCTGCCACTCAGTCTCTCCCGATGTGGAAAACGCCTCCCAAGCACCACTGCTTGCCTCACTGAGAATGCCAGCTGATCTGACCTGAAGGGTGCCAGCTCCTGCCAGGTCAGGTCTGGCAACTGCTCGCTACTTCCTAACTGTCTCTCCCTCCCCCTGCCACTCAGTCCAATTCCTCAACTTTGCCTTTGATGTTCCGGGCTCCTAGATTGTCATATATAATCAATTCACTTGTTTTTTTGGGTCTTCATTGTAAGAGGGACCACAAGAAGCATCTGACTATTCCACCGTCTTGGCCCCTCTTTGTAGTTTTGATCTGCATTTCTCTAATGGCTAGTGATCACGGGCATTTCCTCATGTGTCTGTTGGCTGCTTGAATGTCTTCTTTGGTGAGGTATCTGTTCATTTCCTTTGCCTGTTTTTTAATTGGATTATTTGTCTTTTGGTAAATCATGTGATTCTTTTGTTTATGTGATGGATTATGTTGGTTGATTTTCTAATGTTGAACCATCCTTGCATACCTGATAAGAATCTCACTTGGTCGTGGTATTATTTTTTTGATATGATGCTGAATTCTATTGGGTAGAATTTTGTTGAGAATTTTTGCATCTATATTCATGAGAGATATTGGTCTGTAGTTTTCCTTTTTCGTGGTGTCTTTGCCTGGTTTTGGTATCAAGGTTATGCTCTCTTCATAGAATGAATTTGGAAGTATCCCTTTCTTTTCTACATTCTGAAATAGTTTAAGTAGTACTGGTGTAAGCTTTTCTCTGAATGTTTGGTAGAATTCTCCAGTGAAGTGATCTGGGCCAGGATTTTTTTTTGTTGGGGTTTTTTTTTATTACCTTTTCAATCTCTTCTCTTGTTATGGGTCTGTTCAGATTTTCAACATCATTTTGTATTAGTTTGGGTAGGTAGTGTATTTCTAGAAATGTGTCCATTTCCTCTAGGTTTTCAAATTTGGAGTATAGTTTTTCATAGTACTCTGTTATGATCCTTTTTATTTCAGTTGGATCTGTTATAATGTTCCCCAATTCATTTCTTATTTGGGTTATTTGCATCTTCTCCTGTTTTCCTTTTGTCAGTCTGGCCAGTGGTTTGTCGATTTTGTTGATCCTTTCAAAGAACCAGCTTTTGGTTTCCTACAAGATATTTCTGATTGGAACAGACTACTTAACAAAAGTCATTATTCACTACAACTTAAGAAAATGTGTAAGGATATGCAACAAAACTAGAATACCCAAAGAAGGAGAACAAAGTTAGAGAATATACATTTCCTGATATTAAGACTTAAGCTGAAGCAATCAAGAGTATTGCTGGCAAATAAATCAGGTGGAATAGAAAGCCTCGATTTAAACCCTTCCTTATAAGTCATTTGGTTTTCAACAAAGATGTCAAAGCAATCCAGTGGGGAAAAGGCTAGCCCTTTTGATAAATGATGTTAGAAAAAAAAGAAGAAGAACGTCACCCCCATCTCCTACTATATTGAGTACAGTAATCTCTGATTTCCGATGTATTCAAGTTACAACAAATGTGACCTATGACCGTTTTTCTTGGGGTGGTACACGTTATCGTTAGTAATATGTACTACGTACAGTGTTGCAGCATGTAATTTGTTGATATTATCATCCTCAGTTGTTCAATGTTATGATTTACTGTTCAAAACACTGCTATATAGTAGGTGCTAATGAAAACTAAAAAAAAAAAAAGTATTCGGCTTATGTCAGGACCGACTTCTGTTGTCAGAATGGAGCCCCATTGTAAATTGAGGACTACCTGTACTGAAAGGTACCCACCAGCTGCTCTGCAGGAGAAACATGTGGCAGTCTGCTTCCATAAAGATTACAGCCTTGGCAACCCTATGGGGCAGTTCTACTCTATCCTATAGGATCGCTGTGAGTCGGAATCGACTCAACGGCACTTAGGAATGGCAGCAGAGACCTAAATGTAAAAACTAAAATGATAAACCTTCTAGAAGAAAACACAGGAGAATATCTTTGTGACTTTGAGGAAGGCACAGATTTCTTAGACCGTAGAATGTAATAATGATAAAAAAAAAAAGACAAACATCAACAAGAACAAAAAGACTAGACGTTATCAAAAATAAAGAACATAAAAACTAGGATCAGACTTCCTGAGTTCAAATTCTGGCAGCAACATTTACAAGCTGTGTGACCTTGGACTATTTACTTATCTTTCCATGCCGCAGTTTCCTATCTGCAAAGTGAGGATAATAACAATTGAATAATACTTGCCTCATAGGATTGTTGAGGGAATTGAATGTGTTAATACAGATAAAGTGCTTTAAGTGGCACCTGGCATATAGCAAGCCCTCAATAAATTTCATTCAGGTACCTTATTCAACTACGAGAAGCTTCCTCAGGTCTTTGCTCCAGGAGCATGTTCTTCAAACGCTTGGTCCTTCAGGTAGTACAGTTTAGTGCTGACTGAAATGGAGACAGTGGCAGAGAACATAAAGGAAGGAAGATACAAACTCCAAGGGAACAAGATTGGATACACAAAATCTGTCCTAGTCTTAAGTACATGGAGCCCTGGTGGCAAAGTGGTTAAGAGCTCAGACTACTAGCCAAAAAGTTGGCAGTTTGAATCCACCAGCTTCTCCTTGGAGACCCTATGGGGCAGTTCTACCCTGTCCTATAGGGTTGCTATGAGTCAGAACCGACTATGAGTCAGAACCGACTCAATGGCACATAACAACAACAACTAAAGTACATGCTATCACTTGATGCTCAGCAGACCACTTAGTTCCTGGATATATTAACATAATTTTTCCCACCCCTATACTCATTCTAGAGTTAGTGTCTTAGTTACTCAGTGCTTTAGTATATTGGGGGAGGAATAAAGGGAAAGATATAGAAAACCACAGGATTTTTTAAAAATTTGAACTACTAATCTAAAAATTATTATTGAGGAATTATTGAATACTGAATAGATCACAGATCATAATTCCTATCTATTATATGGGTTCAAAAATGTGTGTTTTTTCCTACCCAATTATCCTATATTTTCGGTGTGTAAGCTTCTGAAAGCAATATTTTCCCAAACTGTACATTCACAATATGCATTTCAGGAAAACTTGCTTAAATGGAGTGCCTTTCCCCATGGCGGCTCTCATAATAAGTTGTTTTCTTCCAATTGCAGATGACACAGCCCAAGTTACCTCTGATTATGAAACCAATAACAACAGTGACAGCAGCGATATTGTACAGAATGAAGATGAGACTGAGTGCCCCAGAGAGCCGCTGAGGAAAGTGTCAGCTTGCAGCACCTACACCCCGGAGACCATGATATTTCTGGTAGCCCCATATCACTTAACTCACTCATTTGCTTGTGAAATTGGCTTCTACCATGGAGCTACGCTCAGCTATAGATCCCCGAATCATTAGACTTGCAGATCTCATTTGAACCACACGTGTATTATAGCCCTACCCATATTTAACAATATGATTTTTATCCTTCCAAGCCTTATTGATCTCTTAATGGGTCTATTATTTGGTGATTAAAAACATAAATATTCATCTCTGGAAATGACTGCAGATATTTCTTAACACAATCAAAAAGTGTGAGCACTCATAGGGAGAATGAATTATTTTATTCTGTACAACAGTATTTTAAATGGTACGTTATTTATAAAGATAAGCAAGAGAAATGTAGGTATTAGTTGTCTTAGGATTTTTTTCTGCTGTTTTTTTCTCTAGCATCTTATTTATTTATAAAGTAATCTAATATTTATTTTCTTATTATATTAAGCTAGGTTTATACTGACATTTGCTACCTATTAAAATAGTCTTTAGTGATGATTTATTTTGCGCATAATGGACCCATTTAAAGAGGATGAAAGTATGCATTTGAGTTAATTCTTTTACCTAATTTGCCATTTTTAAATCAATAAATTGCCCGACAAAATGATTTAAATCATCATTTTGTTTATTTTCTCTCTCTTTTTTGAAAATGTGCTCTTAAGAACGTCCTCATTTGGAACCAGTTATAAAATATCTTTACATTTACACGGTGCATGTTTCTCAAGAAGTGATAGAACACATGGATTATTTTGAAATCCTTGAAAAATGTGGCAATTGTCATTCCACAGAATTAATGCTAATTCTGAAGCATTAATATAAATGTGACTAATTAGCGTAGGGGTGATTGACCTCCCCCTCCCTACTCCTAGATTTCTTTTGAGAATCCAATATAGCCAAGAACTCTTAGTCCAGACAAATTTATGTAAATATAAATTTACATATAATTTCAGAGTTCTCTGAAGTCCTTACATGAATCTTCATTTAAGAACCCTGTGCTAAACAACACCAACCAAAAAAAAATGTGATCACGTATGTATGTGTATTTGCCTGTATGTGTATACCCGTTGGCATCAAGTCAATTATAGGAACCCTATAGGACAAAGTAGAACTGTCCCATAGAGTTTCCAAGGATGTAATCTTTAAGGAAGCAGACAGCCACATCCTTTTCCCATGGAGCAGCTGATAAGTTTAAACTGCTAACCTTTTGGTTAGCTGCTAAGCGCTTAACCACTGCACTACCAGGGCTCCATGTTTATGTATATGGGCATATATACATATTATATATACGTGCGTGTGTGTACATATGTACACATGGATAGATGTATCTATATGTATATGCAGGTCTGTGTGTGCATGCATATATATTCATATATATAATAAAACACATAAGGGGCACAGTTACGAATACTTCTTAGACATAACCAAACACCTTGCAAATATGGCTGTCTACGTTTGAAGGCTTAGGACCGTAGTTTCATGGGACAACTCAGTCAATTGGCATAATATACTTCAAAAAGATCATGTTCTACATCTTAGTTTGGTGAGTAGTGTCTGGGGTCTTGAAAGCTGCCGAATAGCCGTCTAAGATACAACTATTGGTCACTACTCATCCGGAGCAAAAGAGAAAGAAGGAAACCAAGGACTCAGAAGAAACTAGTCTACAGGACCAATAGTCTACATGAATCATGGCCTTATCTACCCTAGACCAGAAGAACTAGATGGTGCCTGGCTACTGCTACTGACCGTTCTGATAAGGGCCACAGGAGATGGATCCTGATAGACTGGGAGAAAAAATGTGGAACAGATCTGAAATTCTTACAAAGTCTAGACTATCACCCTGAGATACCCCTTAAACCTTGGACAGAAACTATCCCCTAGGGTTACCTTTTAGCTAAATAACAGAGTGGTTCGTTAAATAAAGAAAATCCATGAGGAAAAAAAAAAAAAGAACCCTGTACTAGACCAAAACACAGTTGTTTTAACTTTTGGAATAAACACCCACTGTTGCTGTAGTTTGTATGAACCAGAGATAGGTGAGCACCAAATAATGCAAAGTTCATGGTCTGAAACAGCACTGGGCCTTTTTCTCCTTACTCTGGCGTCAATGTCTTATTCATCTTGATTTTTTTTTTTTTTAAGATTCACTCATTCATGTGACGTTTTAAGTCACTCATTTCAGGTAACCTCAGTTGTTAAGTTGAACTTACCAAAGGTTAAATTACTTTGTAGAAAAACTGCATGCAGTTAAAACATTTCTCCCTTAATCTTCATTACAGGACAAACCAATTCTTGCTCCTGAACCTCTTGTCATGGATAACCTGGACTCAATTATGGAGCAGCTAAATACTTGGAATTTTCCAGTTTTTGATTTGATGGAAAAGATAGGAAGAAAATGTGGCTGTATTCTTAGTCAGGTATGAAATGCATTCATACGTATAACTGAGGAAAAAACAATGCCTCGGTTGCATACAGCTATGTAGATTCATGACACCTGTGAATGGGTCGTGTTTGGAGAAAGTAAATCTTCTCACACAGCACTCTGTACATTCCTTGGTGGTGGGGTTAACAAAAGAAATTATAACCCTCAAGTGAGTAGAATACCATATATGTTCTGCAATTAAAATATTACGTACATTTTAAGGGACGGTGGGTGGATGCATGAACATGATTGCCCAACAATCTAAAATTGGGAAAATTCAGCAAAAGAAAAGCTAGCACAAGCCCCAAAATCTATTAGTATAAACACTAACTTATTGTCTATTATTTTTCCAGTGACTTTTTAAAAATATTTGAATATTACAATCTTAGGCCTTATCAAAAATAATACATTGTGTAGAAATAAGATTCCCCAAAGGCCTGAGAGAAAAAACATCAAATAGATTTTTCTATATTTTAATATGGAAAATACCTTTATTTATCGCAAGAAATATAGATGAGCGCTATTGCTGTATTACAAGCCGTTTAGTGTGTGTGTGTTTTTAAGCTAAATTGCTTTCAAGGTGTCCCAAATAAAGACATGTTTGTTTCCTTTAAGGAGAAAGAAAACTTGTACAGAAATTAAAAATTTGAACATGTTTATGCTAAGAAAACAAAACAAAAGGATGGATTTACTATGTTATTAAACACCTACCCACATAATCTCCATCAATTAAAGGAAATTATTCGATAATATTTATCAGCCTGTTTAGAAATGTTTTAGGTGTGTTCTTGAAGCTTTAAATAAATATTACTGCAGAGATAATAAAGCCTATTAAATTTGTTAATATACTACTTAGGTGACAATTCAGGACCCAAGTCACATTTACTGGGGACACTAACACTTCCTGCAAAACACTGAGAGGAATCTGTGTGATACAGATTTCTAGTGTGTGCGTGCGAGACAGGCTTTTTTCAGACCCCTCAATGGCGTTGGAGTGTGCAGTCTTCAGAGTGATGATTCCTGATTTGTGAAGGTTTGAAGGGAGTAGATAGAATGCCTTTTTCTCTAGTGTTCAGTTCTACAAGCAAAGAGAACTAGTCTAGCCTTCAAGAAGAGAAATATGTCCCCACCCTGAAGGAACTGCTGGTCTATTAGGGAAATAGATACGTGACAAAATGGTGGCCGTTAAGCTTGATACACACAAAAGAAGCTTGTTAAAATCTTGATGGAATATGAAGCTCAGAAGAATTACAAATCCTTATAATAAGCAATTAATTGTTGCCTCTGCTAAACTCATTCTAATCATGAATATGTTCTGAAATATAATGGCAGTCCTTGTACTAGGAGTTAATTATCCCCTTCCTCTTCGTTTCTCCTCAGTGCTAAGCAATCTCTTTCATGTAAACTGATTTTGAGGATAGGTTTAAGGGTAGCTGTTTAATCTACCTTAGCCTCACTCCTGAGGATTCGTCCTGGGAGCTTTTGTATCCCACTTTCTGAAATCCATTTCAGACTACAACTTGGAGGGAGTGACTCTTTCCCAGAAATGTACCTGGAATGGCGCCACAGAATATGTGCAGTGGGCCAGGAACTCTTCTTTCTCTTCTTTCATGGTAGAATGTGTTTGCTGGTATGGAGAGAAAAAACTCTCACATTGTTTTGTCGTTGACCTAGATGGCACAGACTCCCCCAAGCCCTTCAGTTTAATCTTCACAGGGACTTGGGTGCAGGTTTGTTTGTCTGTTGTGTTTTGTTTTAAATCTTTACAGAAGAAATTGGGGCTTAAAGAAGATATCCTATTCTTCAAAAGTCGTAAGTAAATGTAAATATTGGACCCAGGATCCTAGTGCAGACCTATCCATATTAAAAGCCCAGGTTTTTGTTTTTTTTTTTCTTTTTGTGTTCATTTGAACTGCTTCTCAATTTCCTGTAAAATATATTAACTGATTAAGTGTCTTCGAGCTCTCCAAATGGGGAGCCTGAAAAAGTAGGGTGGTTGTTAGTACAGCAATCAGTTTTACAGCCAAATATCCTGGCGGGTACTCAGCTCTCCCTGAAGTTCTATAAGCTGTGGGGTAGAAGGGTGGATCTTGATCAGCATTGCCACATTGTCAGAGTCTTGTGATACTAATAATTCTTAGGAAGAATATAGACAATTAACAATTAGACTTCAGCTAAATTCTTCAATGTGTCTTTTTTCCAGTCTTCATTTAAAAATAAAATATTGCATTTTTACGTGATTCTAATTATGTCACTGCATACTTTCCCTAATTGCAAAATATTGAATTTTGAGAAAATGTAACTCCATTTGCCTTGCTAAGTATAAGTTAGCAAGTTCTAAAATCTGAAGTCAAAATGCTTTAACAAGTTCTAAAATCTGAAGCCAAAATGCTTGGCTTGAATCCTGACTCTGTTGTGTATCAGCTGTGTGATCTTAGACAAGTCACTTATAACATCCCAGTGCCTCAATTTCTTCCACTTTCAAATGTTAGTAATTAACGGTGCATATAAGTTGTTGTGAGGATTAACTATATGTAAAGTATTAATGTATGTAAAGGACTTAAAGGAAGCCCCTCACTTATTAAATGTCACATATATGTGTGATGCTGCTGCTGTTATTATTATTATTATTGAAGTAATATGAATAGTTAAATCCCTTAGGGGCTTATAAACAAGAACTCAAATATAGTCTAAAGTAATTATGGTAGAGAAGAGACAACTAAAAGAAGATACAGCTTGAAACATAATATGACAGAAATGACAAACTTCACTGCAATTTTAAAGAGAATAGGTAGGAATGTTAGTTACACAGGAAAAAGAAGAAATACATTTGCCATTCTTCATTATGTGAAGAAAAGCATATAGAAATTGAGACGAATAATTATACAATCTATTTTCAACCAGCAGCTAGAGTGCTCCTTTCAAAACCTAAGTCACTATCCTGTTCCAGTCTCCCTGCCTCACTCAGAGTAAAAGCCCTTATAATGGTCCATCTAGCTTCCAGCACTCTAGTCCACACCACATTCCAACCCCACCCCCCAGTTACTCCTCTGACTTAAATTCCTATTGCTATCCGCATGCTGGCCTTCTTCCTCTTTCTTGAATACACTGAGCATACCTCAGGACCTTTGAACTGGCTATGTGGAAAAATTTTCCTTAGATATCCATGGAGCTCATGTGATACTTCCTTCAATTCTCTCCTCAAATGTCTCCTTCTGAATATGCCTACTCTCAACATCTTATATCAAATGGCAACTTCCATGCCCTCCCTGCACTCTTAACCCTCTATCCTTGCTCCACTTTTTCTTTAACCATTTGACTTATCGCCTTCTGCCATAGTATATAATCTGTTTATTTATTATGGCTGTCATTTACTGTCCTCCCTTGCTAGACTGTAAGCTCCATGAAGGAACAGATCTTTGTTATGTTCACCCATATATGCCACATGCATAGAAAATTGTCTGACAAATAGTAGGTACTCAATCAATATATGCTAAAAGAATTAAATCCTTTTTTGGTAATGTATGTATGTATGTGTGTATGTATAATACATATGACTCATAAACGGTGAATATATATTGAAAGAATATTAGTTAATTTGAATAGATTAAAATTCAATAACAAATGAGAAAAATTTAGCTATGAAGCAATATATAGAAGATTTAGAAGAAGTATCTCAAGAGAATTTTAAGAAAAGATGTGAATAATTAAAAAGATGAATAATTCTTTTTAAAAATATTCTGAACTGTAACCAACACAGTGCTTCGTGACATGAAATAAGGCTATTTGAAATGGTGCTGTGCTCCATTCTGCCGGATAAATAACCATGTATTTCCCCATTGCCTTCTTCTATTCTTCCATTATTTCTTTTTCTCCATCTTTTGCATGTCAAATGTACCCATTACATCCAAAGATATTCACCAGGGTAGTCAGAGTAATTGGAAAGAGAATAAATATTTGAAAGAGGAAGAGAGAAAACAAGTGAGAGAAACTAGATCAAATACTGTTACTTATATTGGTTTAGAATAAATATTTTCTCTCTATATATTTTAGTTAAGCCAAACCTTTTCCTCTCTCCTTATCCATTCCTGAAGGTGCACTTCTGTGTCCATTATCATCTGAAAAGCTTTTTGGACAAAATTAGTCCAAATTAAAGCTTTCTTTCTCTCATTCTTTAGTATTATGCTGTATACCATACAATTAGGACTTTAGTATGTGTTATTCTCTAATTGTCCATATGGCACACAATTTAGTGCTCTTTTATGCACTGGTATATTGCCATGGTATATATTGTTCTATTGGTTTCTTGGCTATATGTCTAGACTCGACCCTTAAAAATAGATTATAAACCCTTGAGGACTACAAGGGCTAAGCACATAGAGGTCCTCAATGCGTACTTGATTTGTTATTCCCAGTTAAGTGTGCTCTGCTGGCAGGAAATTAATATGGTTGATGGAATGCACACTTTTATCTTTCATTTTTCTCTTCATGTCTTACACACACTGTGGGATATTTGATAAGGCTTTGTCTTTCTCTTTTACAGGTATCATATAGACTTTTTGAAGACATGGGTCTGTTTGAAGCTTTTAAAATTCCAATTAGGGAATTTATGAATTACTTTCATGCTTTGGAGATTGGGTACAGGGATATTCCTTGTAAGTATAAGTTGCTTGTGGAATAATATTTTAAAAATCTGTTTAATTTGCCAGGAGTAGTGAGATTCTACATTGTCAGCAGGTAGCACAGACTGATACACTGTAGCCACTCAATACGCTCACAGGGTATAGTGGTGAGGAGATATGCCCTGTGTTAGAATCCTGGCCTCTTCACTTACCAGCTGTGTGACCCTGGGTCTTACTTAAGCTCTACACGCCTCTTTTTTTTTACTCATAAAATGTGATCATATCTACTTCCTAATAGTGTTATGAGGATCAAATGAAGTAATACTTTTAAACGGGTTATAACAGTGCCCTTCACATAGTAAGTACAACTTAAAAGTGTTTGATAAATAAATAATCAGATGTTAAATTTATTGCTTATTTTATAATCTGTCTCTTTCATTGGATGAATGGCTTTTGTTCTGGCATCTGAAAAGGTATCCAGCTCATTCACTAAATATTGAAGATAAATTCAGCTGTGGGTAGTGGAATAGGAAGATGATGGTCTACTTTATAAACTGATAAAGCAGAGCTATCTGTAAGTGGTTATGGCAAAATAATTAGAAAGATTTAAAAATAGAGAAGTGTGAAGAGCCAAGGAGAGGACACAGTCAAAGGTCCAACCTTTAGAGTACTGTGATCATAAGTTTGCCATTTTTAATAATGAGAGATTGGAACACAGAGATGTTAAATTAGATTTTCAATATGTAGCATTTTGGGTATTATCAGAACCCATAAGTAGAATTGTCCTACAGGTTACAAAGTATATAGAACTGGAGAAAACACTCAGGTCAAACGAGGGAAGTTGTAGAAATATATAGAAATCATGGGAGTACTTCAAGAGAATAAATGTCAAGCATGAAAAAGAGTCAAACGTAATACATTGTATGCACCATGTCACTTAGGAGTACAAGGAAAAAGAAGGCACAAAAAGGAGAATTAAATGGTTAAAATTTTTTATATAATTTTAAATATATGCTGAATGAACAAATACTTCTCTTACGTATGTTTTGTTTAAATCTTGACCTTTTTTCTATCATAAGATTTCAGTATTAAGACCTTAAAATTTTTTCATTTAACAAAAGAAAAAGATTTTCCTTAATTTAAAAATGTTCTAAGTCAACTATAGCAAAGTATTTTTAGTCTCATTTCAAAGTGAACATATTTTAAATTTGAAGTTTTAATTTGCTTTTATGTATGTTGGACTTTATAAACCCACATCTTTTTGTAGTCACAGGAGCTGAAGTTAGATAAAAATTATATAAAGCAAAGGTATTTCCAGAAAGGGGGAACACATTAACCTAGTGATCCATTATTACCATGTGAGTTTTCAAAATGCAGACCACATGCTACAATGGAACGAAAATGCACTGTGGATGATGTGTGATAAGAAAGGAAAATGACAAACTGAATCTATTAATAAGATTTGTTGAAGAATTTGGGACCAAAATACAGCTGGAATTGGGGAAAGAGGTGCTTAAGAGCACAAAAGCCCCTGGGAAAGTCAGACTGAGGAGGCCAGGGAAGTTGGAAGATATGGCAAAGGGGTAGTTTGAAAGGACCTCAAGATAAGCCTTGCTTTTTTAATACCATTTTCCCAGGGCCCACCCTGGTTGAATGCCAGTGATTGACATAAGTGTTAGTGATGTCTAAGAGGTGAAGGAGTTACATAAATAAACTTTTATAGAAAGGAAGCCGCGGAAAACACCCAAGAACAGCTAGTCACCAGACTAAATTTCCGAGTTAATGTTATACTTCCAAATATATTTTAATGATATATTTGGCCATGGCCAAATTCCACTTGGTTCAAATTGGTACTAGATGCCATAAATATAGTATCTACTAACTTTTCTGCCAGTAATATATCAGTAAATCATAGGAAAATGTGGCCAATATTTAAGTGTAAAAAGAAGTTTTCTGATTCTAAATTTTATTGTTTAGATTTACATTTTCTTATTACATTTATATATAAGTGAATATATGTTTTTCCTGAAACATTCACATTCCATGTGAAAAGAATTGATATAATAAAACTACTTGTTATATAAGCTACCCCAGAAACTTTCCATAAGGGAGTTTATTTACATCGTTTGCACAGGAAAGCTTCAGTTTGATTGACGATCATTTAAAATATCTCATCTGTGCTGAGGTTCTAAATTTAGACTAATATACATATTTATTAAAAACTTTGCATACCATTAATTATAATTAACAACACAAAAATTTGTTGTATATTTAGCTACTTTAATATTGACTCATAGAGAATTATATTTCTAATGATTCCATCTAAAAAATTCCATAATTAATTGAAAAAAAAAAA